ATTTGTTTCTCTTCCTTCCTTTTTTCGGGGCGGGGCAAATGCGAGGGGCGAAAGGGAGGGCCATGGGCCCGTGACACGGCGGTCGGGCATCTTCCTTCCTCTTTGCCCTCTTTTTCTTTTTGGCTGGGCCAAAAAGGCAAAAAATAAAATAAAAATGTTCGTTTGTCTTAAAAAAAAAAAATTGTTAATCGTCTGCCCGGTCGGCCTCGTAATCGCGTAGCATCCTCTCCGCCTCGGCAGCCCTCTCTTCGTTGGCCTCCTTTTCGCGCCTCTTGAGTCGCGGCCCCGCTTCCGCAAGGTACTGCCCCGCGGCGGCGCGCAAGGCCCCCTCAAGCTCCTCCATGCCTCTTCCCGAGGCCGCCGAGACGCTTGCAAAGGGGAGGCCCTCGTAGAAGCCATGCGTAAAAAGCGAAAGGGACTGCACCAAGCCCCCGGCGTAGTTGCCATCGGTGCTGGCGTTGGCCGCGTCGGCCAGCGCATCGGGGTCCTTCATCCAGGCCACCGCGGCTTCAGAGGAAACAACGTCGGTCTTGTTGAAAGCAAGGAGCAGCGGAAGTTGCTGCTTGAGCATGATGCTCGAAGAGTAAAGCATTGTGCTCATGAATGTTTGTGGACTCACGCAGCGCGTGGTATCGGCAACGAAAAGCAGAACTGTCGGCCACGTCGCCGCAAGGGACTCCGCAATGATTTGCCCTGAGGCGGACCACGTGAAAACTTCAATCTGCCCAGGCGTGTCAACGACGATCCATTCAAGATTCTCTTTTTTTTCTAGAATACTTATGACTTGGTGAAACTTGGTTGCGAAAAGGTTTAGCGATGTCATGATGGCCCCGTTCGGTCCAAGTCGGTACTGCTTCATCACCTCCTTGTAGTTCACCGTATCCCGAATGTCAATGTTCGCGCGGTACGGAACTTCTGTTACGGCGGGGTCCAAGTTAATAAAGTAGGCGTTTTTGGCGGTTGCCAGCGCATAGTGCTGCATACGGTGCACGAGCGTCGTTTTCCCAGTCCCTGCCATTCCCACCACGAGGATTACCAAAGGTCGGCCCTCGGACATGGCGCGCGCACAAGAACTACACTATGACGATCAAACCGCCAGCATGTCCCGCACCCCCCCCCCCAAACAATAACAACAACAACAAGGAAAAGGAAGCAAGTCCAAAACAGCGGTAACTGCCAAAGGGATAGGAAAGAAACAAAATAAAAAGGGAAGAAAAGGGACACAATCCCTTTGCGCCCCCGCAGGCTCAAGCCTTATCGGAGCCAGGCGCTCGCCTAACCGGTCAAACTGTGCAATGTGTGTGTGTGTGTGTGTGTGTGCCTGCGATGCTCAATCGCACGCAAACGCCATGAGGGACTGTACCCACTCGAAATCAACTCGTAACGCCTCTTCATCTGCGCGTGTCTCTACCAGGCTCTCCCATTCACGCCGCACTCTTCCCATGAAACATAACAGATCGTGCCGCACTACTGACAGTTCTCCCGCGACGCGCTGGGCCGCGACGGCCGCGAGAGAGAGGCACCGGATCAGTTCCCGTGCGTCTTTCCTTTTCGCGCGCATACCCCTGCATGGATAGGTGCCGAGGAAACAGGCGCGATAAAACAGTTGCTGATAGCACTCGACTGTTCCAAAAAAATTTTTAAGTGATTGTGGGGGGTCGGAACAAATGGATAGTATCATGCCCAGCGTACCATGCACGACACCGGGGGACGTTTCGTCATCTTCAGTGAATCCATCACCGAGCCTGCGACGGCGTTCCTCTTCAGCGAGCTCACCAATGATCATGTTAAAGAGTGGAGTGGCATCCGCCACGCACTTTGAGTGCCGCAACCACCACTCAGCATACCCAGAGGCAGCTAGTTCCAGAGGCCACTTGCGAAACAAATTGTTCCATAACACATTCTCAGGTGCATCATCGTCGCCAATGGACAAAGTAGTTGCACCGGCGCCATCATACGCAAGTGTCTGAGCGAGTGTCCTTTGGAGCTCACTCATAAAGGACGAAGCTGTCGACGAATGTGTATGAGCCAATGAATCCAACATGCCACTGTTTAGGAATTGGTGCTGGAGTTTTCCACTCGCATTAACGTGTGGCCGAAGCCGCTCTCCACCGTACACAAGGTCACACCCCGCAGTATTGCTATCGTTGACAAGGGTAATGCGGCGAATGTCGTCGTAGGGCAAGAACCGCGCACATACATATGCCTGTACAGCCGCGCTTTTGCTGGGCGCGGCTGGCAACCCGCCAACCGTTGAGGCCGCTGCAGCTGGGACCCCTCCTTTTCCCCCACCGCCAGCATCATCGACGATGACCGACGACTCCGCCGACTCGGCGTGATTGTTCCCGCTTGGGCTGAGAACCCCAGACGCCCTCATTGAACACACTCGCCCGCGTCTTCTTTTTCAAGACACACACACACACACACTCAGACAGAGAGTGATTTGCGCCCTTGTCTCACCCTCTCAGCTTGCCTAGTTACCCTTACCCTGCCCCAGGGGATCTTCAGTAGGGTAGAGAACAGGTTGAAAGAAGGGTGCAAGTGGGACTGCAGCTGGGGGTTGGCCACTCTGTGCGACTCGAAGCAATGAAGAACAAAAAAAAAAAAANAAAAAAAAAAAAAGAAAAATCAAAACATGCAGACCAATCTCGCAACGATACGCATGCACTATCACCAACCTTGCGGAAACAGAGCCTTGAAGCGGCGCACGTAGAACTTCTGCCGAGGCCCGCCAACGTCAGAACCGTATTGCCCACGCGCCCTCCATATATCACGGCTGTGAGTCAACGGTTTCTGACCAATCTTATTGTGGTAATCTGGGTGTATGTGGTACATGGAGGATTTAAATTCCGTCACCTCGGGCGTCTTCTTCTGTGCAGCCCCCACGGCATTGCACCTCGCCATCTCCTCAATGCGTTTGCGATCACGCTCGAGTGAATGATGCAACATTTCCTTCGACACCTCATCCCGGGAATGGAANCTCGCCATCTCCTCAATGCGTTTGCGATCACGCTCGAGTGAATGATGCAACATTTCCTTCGACACCTCATCCCGGGAATGGAACCAGTACATGTTCTGCGCGTACGTCTGAATGGCGGCAGCTCGCTCCCACCCAAGAACCAACTTATAGTCCACTTCCTCCTTCGTCAATGTGTCGTTGAGAGGGTGTCTAAAACTACTACGAACCTCCTCTGTGACCATCTCCCGGCGGGAACGTAGTGGAAAGCGACTGGCCCCTTTAATCAGGACACGGTAGAGCCTCAGTTTCTCTTGCCGCTTATAGAGGTGCTGCGACATCAACTATCAAATGGAACTGCACCAATAGCCTATTTATCAAACCTCCTCGACCCTACCCACTGGGCAGTTCCCCCACCCTNCTGCGACATCAACTATCAAATGGAACTGCACCAATAGCCTATTTATCAAACCTCCTCGACCCTACCCACTGGGCAGTTCCCCCACCCTACGGAGACACAGTAAGAACGATGCCAACACCTTCCGAAGAGAGTATTGGGTACAGGAAAAACAAAAACAAAAAAGGTCACGAGGTTAACTACCAAACACCCTCAACTCAAGAGAAAAAAAAATAGATTTCTTCTCTTTAGGGTCTAGATCTTACTTTCAACTAACGAAGGAAAAGGAGAGACATACGCTATTTTTCCCAACGCTATCTGGCCCAAACGCCATGACCCCCCCCCCAAAAAAAAACCCAAAGGTAAGCGTCCATATAGACTCATTAATGGTGTGGACAAAAGATAAAGCGTAGAAAATGTTCAAAACGCGAATCGCGCACTCCCCTTCCAGAAGCCAAAGAGAAAAGAATAAATGAATGAATAAAAACGATACAAGCTCCCGTAAATATCAAAAAAAAAAAAAGCTACCCCCCTTACATACTTACCTCCGTTTCTCATTACTCTCAATCTCAGTCCCCTTAACACGAAGAACACAAGACATCCGCAGTAGAGAACGTAGGAGACTTCATAGAACCAACAAGACAAGACAAGCCCCAACACCAGAAGTTCTGATAAGCGTAAAACAACCACATAAATACACATAACCAAAAATAAAACAACAACAACAAAAAACACACCTATCACGTATCCAGCACCACTACATAAACGTACTTCTACTGCCCACTGCAATAAAACAATATAACACAGCAATGCTCCTGTGCCACATTTGTCATTGTACAAAACAATATCACGTTCTGATACGCATTTCAATTCCTGATATGTTACCGTTATACAATACACTCCTACCATTATGAGCCCAGTAAATCGGGTAACCATTCAAGACCTCTGTTGAGGGCCCTGCATACGAACCACGGAAGAAAGGAACACCCCAGCCATCCTCTGTCGCGTCCGCAAACCGGCCAAGGTTCCACCTATATATGC